AAATCATCATCATCATCACTAGTACATGTTATCAAAGGATGAAGTTTTTCTAATAAGAAAGAATTGATCGACATCAAATAATAAACTCAGGTAAAGTACTTCATTGGGATTTTTCATTTGACATTAGTTCTAATATGATAAATTAATAATCAGTTAATAATTATGTATAAATTCAAATTATTTTAATTTTATTAAAATTTAAATCCAATATAGTTTAATATATGAAATCATTAACATATTTTTGTAGGAAAATTATTGCTAACATAGAATATGACTCTCAAAACATGATTCCATGGAATACTACTACAATTGATTAAAATCTAGATGTACTTCAAGTTTTTAATTATATAAATAAGATTGTTATTTTTTATAAAAAATACTAGCTGGAGTTATTTGTCATACAAAATATAATTTTAACAATAGTATCTTATGTTTTTGTAATGTGACGACATTGAGATATATAACATATTTGTTGTCTATAACATATATTTTTCCTTGTGTATTATAACAAGATACAATGAATGATTACAAAAATATATTAAAGGAATAGAAAATTAGAAATATATTATGGCTATTTAAAAAAACTATGCATAAATATAAAAAATTCAATCATAAAAAAACATTTTATCAATTTTCATGGATACAATATGAATGTCATCTTAAAAAATACATACATTTCATCAATTGAACACAATTTGAAGTACATTGTATCAAAATCACATATCTAACATGTGTTGCAAGTTTTTTTCTACTTTCTCAATATCAAATGGTTCAATTTTTATGAGAAATGACCAACCCTATAGAATTGAAGGTGTTGGATTTAGAAGTATTTGCATGTTTGATGTGGTCAATCGCATGTTGATCCATGTTAGGATTAGACATAACATGAAAAAGATCTTGAAATCTCTTGGAATGTTAGATTCACACGGCTTAGAGTGGAGCTTTAAGCATGAGGTGAAAATTTTAGATCCTATAATAAAAATATTATACTTTGGAAACACAAGCACAACAATTTGTACTTGCTAGAGTACACAACTATTTGTAAAAAAGTTAACTTTACTAGATATCCCATTAGGATGTCTCATGTATGACATTACAAACTATACCATATGAGTGATTGATACATCTTTCTTTTTGATGAGACTAAGACGTTACTGGATTTGAGTAAATTTAAATTGACATTCTATGAAGATTGTATCTTAGGCAAATAGCATAGACAATCTTTTGGTGTTGGAACTCATAGTTATACAAAGATATTGGATTATATTCATAGTCACGTGTGGGGACCATCTCTTGTTGACTCCATCTTTGGAAAACAGTACTATGTATCGTTTATAGATGATTACTACATGTATGTGAGAAATATACCCACAAGTCTAAGATGTTTTCAACCTCCAATACTTGGCGCATACTCAAACTAGACAAAGAGTGAAATATTTGCGATTAGATAATGGGGGCGAGTATACTTGTGAGGAGTTTCAAAGTTATTGTACACAGGAGTGGATTACACGTCATTCCACAACGATCTATACTCTATAACAAAATGTTGTTTCTCAAAGTCTCAACCAAACATTGTTGGAGAAGGTGCGAAATATGTTGAGCAAATCAGGTTTACCAGGAAAATGTTGGATTGAGGTTGTCAACACCACATTTTATTTGGTAAATCTTTTTCCTTCTAGTGTAATCAATATTTCAACACCGTTTGAACTAAGTCATAAACGGATAGCAGATTACAATCGCTTGAGATTTTTTGATTGTATTACTTATCATATCACAACAAAGTAAAACAAGAATAAGTTATCCATACGTTGAAGAAATGTTATTTTCTTGGTTATGCTAGTGAAATGAAAGGTTATAGACTATGGGATTCAATAGCCCGTAAGTTGATTGTCAGAAGTGATGTTTCTTTCAATGAGTCCGTTTATTGAAAGAGAAGAAGAATGTTGAGGATCCCCGTACTAACAAGAGGAAATTTCAACTCACAGATGTTTTTGTGGAGAAGTTTGATCATTATGTCACTGATGATTTGTCGCGAGAAGGAGCACAAGTGCATCAGGAACAGAAATTACATGAACAACTTATTGTTGGTGAGCCTATTGCAATAGTATTATACGATAGAATTCAATAAAAAAAGTCTAGTTGTAGATCACATCTTGCTGATAGTGCTCCTGAAAGTTTTGGTGTATGGGCCAACTCATTCACTCTCAAAGATTGTGACCTTGATACATATGATGTGGATGATATGACGTTAATATTGGAAGAAAATGAATCTTCTTCATACTGGATAAATCAAGCTTTGATCAACAAGCTTTAGTAAAATGTTGATATGGATCAGGAGATGCAATCGCTTATTGAAAATAAGATTTGGGAACTGGTTGAGCTTAGTAGAGATCAAGCATTGATTGACTTCAAATGGGTGTACAAGCTGAAGGACAATCCAATTAGAAGCAAGGCGAAAATGTTCAAAGCCAAGTTGGTAGCTATAGTTTTCACACATGAGAAGGGTGCGGAGTACAACAAAGTCTTTTGCAGCAAAGTATACGACAATTCATCTTGTATGTGCACTGGCCGCGATATTTAATCTCGTTGTGTATCATATGGATGTGATTACAACTTTTCTCTATGGATATTTAAAGTAGTAGAATTACATGAGACAACTGGTTGGCTTTGAGATAAAAGGCCAGGAGAGATTAGTTTGTAGACTGCAAATATCATTATATAGATAAAGCAAGCTTCTAGGCAGTGAAACACACAATTTGATGAGTTCAAGAACTCAAAAAGTTCAAGAAGTTTTTATAAGGAGCGTGTATGATTCTTGTGTCTACATGACGAAGTTGAATGATGAGACCTTCTACATTGATAACATGTTCATCTTTGAGATGAACCAATTCGATGTTGATGAATGCAAGAATCAGCTGTAGTCTCCATTTAAGATGAAGTATTTGGGAAAATCAAAGAGAATATTATGCATGGATATTCATATGTATCTTGAAAAGAATAGACTATGGTTAAATCAAGGCAAATATGTTTGTTGTATACTTAACAGGTTCAACATGCCGACTTTGAAGTAGTATGGATTCATTTGGCAGCAAATTTCAAACTCTCTGGAGCTCAATGCTCTATCAATGCTATTGAGAAAATAAGAATATCATGTAGTCCCTATGAACAAACTATATTCAATTGAACAATATTCCTTGCCATTAATAATGGATAGTTCTTCATGACAAGTGCAGATATGTGTATGGAGGTTGGTTGGAATGCTTTTCTCACTTAAATCTCAAAAATCTGCACATATTTAATTGTTGACGAGGCATGTGTTGTCCTTGACATGAAACCTTAAGTAATGCATATAGACGCTAATTGGTTCTCATCATGTGATGTTGTTTCTCGTGATTGCATAGAAAGTATTTTCTTCTGTACCTACGGGTGCCAGGATAACTCAAAGCCACACGAAAGTTCTTATGACTTCATCACATGATGAAGATAGGAGTCTCGAGGCATGAAATGTTCAGGAGTAAGGTACAAGATAATAATCGTGACAATTATAATCTGCCTACTCAACAACTGCGATTATCACACTCACACCTAAAATTCGTGATTACGAAAATGACGACTAGTTGATCACACATACTAGAAGCTGCAAAATGGCACAAACCCCATCGGTTGCTTCGAGTAGAAAGTATCTAGCAAGCAGGTACCCTGTTCATTTCGTTACGCAATCGCTTATTAACTTTAATGACAATGGTAATAAGAAACTCTCCATATTTCGGAAATGTGTGAATCGCTTATTAACTTTAATGACAATGGTAATAAGAAACTCTCCATATTTCGGAAATGTGTGGATATGGGAGAACTTATGACACGATACATACTGGTCTTAACGCAGCTCGGTGTTCCACAATATTACTACAGTATCTTGCAATCACCGGCAGAAGCAAACAATGTACTCTCTTCGTTAATAAGCGACTGCTCTCTTGGCCTTGTTTCTTCTATTTTATGTGTCTTTCACTTCCCAGCGACAGGAGAGGCCCCGTAGTCTAGTGGTTAGGACATTGGACTCTGAATCCAGTAGCCCGAGTTCAATTCTCGGCGGGGCCTTTTTTTATTGAGCAGTTCAGCCCAGCGAAACTGCTTATCCTTACGGGAGCCCTTTCCAACTCCCACTTTACTCTTACATTTGTCTACCTGTTCTCTCTAAAGACCTACTGACATCTTGCGAATCTTTCCCTCGCCAATTTTTCGAGCGACTCTGTGTTAATCTCAACAAATCAAGCACAAGCAAAATCAAGGTAGCACATTCCAACTCCCACATGATTCTTACATTTGTCTATCTGTTCTCTCTTAAGACTCACTGACATCTCTCGAAGTTTTCCTTCGCCAAGTTTTCGAGCTTCTGTGTATAAATCTCGATAAAGCCACAATGAATCTTCGTTCCTCCAGGTTCATCTCTCGTTCCTAACAAGAGTTGGAATTAGAGGAAGAAAATCCAGGAGTTGGCGAAGATGACTTGCATGACAAATGGTCCCATTTTCATTCGAACTATCCAGTGACTAACGGAGACGACAGAGATGAGTATAAATCATTCGTTAAGACTCCCATGAGTGTCACAAAGTTTCTACAATCATTACAATCCAAATTTCAATCTGTTTAGATAACTTTTCTGATTATCATATATATCATGATTTATACTCATCTTGAGATTTTGGAGAACACTTGTGCTGTGTAGATGATGGGTTTTCATTCTCTTCACTTTGTATGCCTTGTAGAATTTGTTAAGGCTGGTTATAAGTTATAATCAATTTCTGTTGTTATCAATCTTTGAAATGCACAATTCACATAATCATCAATGTGCTTTTTAATGGGCATAATTTGCATTCATCAGAATAGAAGATTAAATGAATGCCGTTACATCCTGATAACGGAGCCAAGTAGAGAGCTAAATAGTACGGAAGAAACGTAAAGCCTTAAAAGGAAAAGGAAGAGAAAGAACGAAAGCGAGGGGCTAGCACCAGTAGTAGTATCACCATGAATGACATCCCAGATTCACAGCAAAAGTCAGAACTTCTTCTCGGCAAATGCCCACTTGATCCACTGGAAGGGAAAGCCTTGTCCCTGTCACAAGAGCAGAAGTGAGAATGTTCTTGTAAGAAAATCTATTTCCCTTTAAGAGGAAAAATTATGCGCTCTGGAACATCGAAGACGGAACCCGGTACTAGGTACCGTGCAGCATCTTCGAGGTGATTTTCAAATGTGCCCAACTCGCAAACAGCGTGTTGCATTGTCTTTAGGGTTAGGGTTGTTCCCGTAATCTCGTCGGGAATTCGTGTTTCGAGGTTTTCTGGAGCTCGAGAATGGAGCCCGCTACTGAGGACGATGGAGGATTCATGGGCGTGCACGTTGGAGAGAATATGGCTCCTGCGTTAGTTTCTGTACATCCGAAAGGGGCTCACATTGTTGTCTCGATTGGTGCTGGTCTGCGAATCTTTGATTTCCTGTAAGTGTTATACAGATCGGCCACCCTTCAATATGCGGTTCAGCTCAATTTCGTTGGTAGCTGTGTTTTTTCTTTTCTTTCGAAACAACTAGCTTAGGAGTGAGAGATGCAACCTCAGGTGTACTTTGAATTTATGCCTTGGGATTTAGGAATTTCATGTTAATATGAATTTGTTTCTGGAACAGATTGTGTAATCTAAGCTCGCTTTCTCTATAATTATTCCTTGACGGACATCCTGTTTCAATTTGTGACTGTGCTCTATGTAGACGCTGTGAGAAACTTCCAGTTTAGTGGAGTAAGAAAGAAGTTAATGTATTCGAGCTGGTTCCGTGGTCTGTAGACATGTGCGATCGGTTGCCTGTAAAAGCTCCTAGTTGTTGAGCATCTCTCAGAGGATAGCTGCTTGTCACTGGTAGTAGTGTTTAGTGCAATAGACCGCCGTGTCATCGCGAAGTTCGTAATTGCGTTTACTTATTAGTCCAATTTATGAATCTACAGATAATTATCATTTGGTTCGATGAAATCATTCTTGGAGTTACAATACCGGGGTCGCCTTTGAACTGACGTTTGTGCACCTTTCATCCATGTGTAGGAAGAACACCCCTGTCGCTGTGGAAGACAATACAACTCCTGGAAAGCACGGCGAGGCCATTAGAGCAGTTGCTTTCAATGAGGAGGGGACATTGTTTGCTTCTGCCGGTGATGACAAGCTAGTGAAATTGTGGATCACCGAAACATGGAGCTGCGTTAAGACCACGTATGTATCTTGTAATAAGGTCTCTCATATCCACACATTTTCGAACTATGGAGATTTTTATTTCTTTTACTACCAGTTCCATAAAATCAATCAACGATTTCGTAACTACATGAACAGGGTACCTGCTTGCTAGATACTTTCTATTCAAAGCAACTGATGGAGGTTTTGCCATTTTGGGGCTCCTAGGGCTAAATAGTCTGTCTGATCAACTATTTGTCAAGTGTGAGTGTGATCGATGCAGTCGTTGATTCCGGCAGATTATAATTGTGAGGTTATAATTCGCTTGTCAGTTTGTCGTATACCTTACACGTGGACCTTTCATGCCTCGAGACTCCTATCTGCAGTGTGTGATGAAGTCATAATAACTTTTGTGTCGCTTTGAGTTATCTGGTACCCGTAGGTCCAGTCGAAAATACTAACTATGCAGTCACGAGAAACAGCATCACAAAATGCGAGCGGATTGCTGTCTATATGCATTCCTCAAGGTTATACGTCATAGACACCACATGTCTCGTCAACAATTAAATATGTGCAGAGGCTGAGGTTTAAGGAAGGAAAGCACTCGATCTCCAAGCTTCATAGATATAGAACTGCACTTGTCATGAGGACCGGTGCATTATAAGTGGCAAGGAATATTGTTCAATTGCCTCGGGTATGTGAATTGTTTTGGCATTATGGTTCCTACTTTGTCATAACGTTTATCTGCTTCGATGTTTTACACCTTACGTGGATATATGTTAGGTTGGTATTCTATGAAGATATATTACATCTTTTGGTTTCTAAGGTACAGGTGATTGTGTCTGAAATGCTACATTTGAAGATTGTGGGGTTAAATGAAGTATTAGGTGCGCTGTTTCAAGTTGAATGGAATTGTGCAATTTGATTTTCTCTCATTCATCAATTGAGCTTGAAACGGAGCTGTTTTTGGAAGTTCGACGTAACGTTATAAAGCAGAAAAAATTTATTAAGGTTAAAATCAATCACATATATGATCAGAGGCACATTCCAACAGACATATACATAGAAACTGATAAAAATTTCAAAATTCTATCAAAACTACTTTCATAACATATGTAGTGAAAATATCTCGCAGGACAGTGCTGTAATTGTTTTTATAGCGTTTAACAACATTTGATACGATCTGATATGAATTGACCAATGTGAGTCTAAGAAGTATTTGTTTCGTTCTGCAAAGATCGGTGCCGTACTCCGTCATCTCAAGGCTAGGAACATTTATTTGGTTTTGGGTTCTTATGAGTAAAGTGTGTCATACATTAGAACGTTGTGACGATATGCATTTTCTGCGCGGTTTTTGTAAAGTAGGAGGCTTTCTTGCATTGAAGATACTTGGTATCCACAGAGAAGTTTGTTAATTACTGAACCAAAAGATTGTTGTTTGTTATTACTTAATACTTTCACCTCATGATCTTTTGAGGCGTTTCTTATCTGATGTGTGTCATTTAACTCTTTAATCCGCAGTTGGAATAAACTCGATGATTCTGAACTTTGTTATTGTCCTCGTATTTGTGAAGATTCAAGAAACTTAATTTTTACTTCTATATTTATTTTAATGCGAAGTAGTTCTCTGTGTGCTATACCCACCACGCTGTAAAGACTCAATACAAAGAAGAGCTGTAGCGTTTTTCTCTTTTGTTTGGACAAGCACATGATTAACCACACTCACTCGTTTGAACCATTATGCCAGTGTTCGCATTTTTTTGTCCACGTCACAATGCTAAACGTCATGGTCACTAGCTAATATCTGCCTTAAATTCAGTCAATGTTTGTATCCAGCGTGATTAGAGTTCTACCTACTTCTGTAATAGAGTCAATCCTTTTGTTAAATCGAAATAAATAAGATGATCAAAATATGTATTTCTGTAGAGTGTTGCAGTCCTGACAGTCTCTGATGTACTTGAATCAGACGTCTTCCCAAGAAGGTCACGTCAGTAGCCTTCAGCAAGGACAGTAAATGGGTATTGTTCGCAGACAAATTTGGTGCAGTTCATTGTCTTCCTACCGAGGTGAAGGACGGGAAAGACGAACCTTTTCAGCTTCTTGCGCACTGTTGCAGCATAATAACGGATTTGGTAAGTACTAAACATTCTCAAGTTTTACATCTAGATCTATCAACTATAAACCGGTTGAAGTATTAACTCCCTTGAAACTGTCGGTTTGTTGGTGGGATAATGAATTCAACCGCCATTTGATTTGGAGTTTTTTAAATTTTTTGGGGTCATATCCCTCAGGAGCTTCGGTCTTCTAACCCATTTTTATGAATCTGAATTATTATCATTTAATACCAATTATATGAAAGTCCAAATAATCCATCCATGTGTAGAACGGTCTGTTTTCTACTGATTAGTTTTGGTTCTCCGAACACGTTCTCACACATACTTCAACGTGTTTATTGTGGAAGCAGGAAGTGACTTCAGATGGGAAATATATCGTTACCTCTGATCGGGACTTCAAAATTCGTGTGAGTACCATCATGGGCGATATCTCTCGTTTGGATGTAGACTGTGCTCTTGGCTCCACCTTTCAACTTTTTGAACTTATCCTTTGTGTTGTGGCGTTCACGGAACATGAAAGACTTGATCAAGTTAGTGTCAACTTGGGCAGTTTTGTTCTTTGTGGTATCTTTTCTATGACAACGCTCTAGAACCTGGACTTTGGCTGAGTACTTGACTCAATGATACGTTGTGACGAAATGTATTGTTGAAGCATGAGTCTTATTGTAGGACTTTATCCCGTTGTCCACTGCATATGCATAAGGTTTAATGTGGTATAGGCTACTTGCAGGTCAGTGTATTCCCCCGCGATCCTTTGAAAGGTGCCCCTGAAATCTGGAAGTACTGTTTGGGCCACTCCAGGTATAACTTTAGAAATTCCGTATTCATCCTTTCGCTTTGAGTGAAGCCATGCTTTGTCATCACGTCGCATCACATGAGAATGTGTTCAAATGATCCAATTGTATTGGGCCATTATAGGACTACAGCTTTGTAGATGATCGGGTAGGCTTTGAAGCTGGAACGTCGTGTACTTAGGGAGCATAATCTGAAAACTATGTGAAGTGATTGTTTACGTATCAGTGTTCATTTCTGGAGAACTAACTTTTAGCAGTCTTGAGATTGATTGTTTGTACCTCCACTTTGGCTCAAATTCACACACGGATGCAGCTTTGTGACGTGTACCGCCTTTGTAGGTAAAAGAAGTAGTGGTCAGCAGTTCCTGGTTTCTGGCAGTGGAGACTCCACGGTAAGTTCACAAATTCTTGATCCTCAAAATTCGTCAGTCTTCATAGGATGGTTCCAACACTCTCTGTGGGTACTTAAGGCATAAGTATGTATGAGTCACCTATGTTTATACTTATACACATCACAAGAAAAGCTTTTTTTGTAGTTAGATGTTTTACCCTATTAATGTGTAGATTACAAGAATGTGCCTGGCGGATGATTGATTGTGCCTAATTTTACTCCAGGTGCGGCTGTGGGATTACTACAATGGGAAAATGCTCGATGTATTTTATACTGGTGAAGTGGTGAGTATTCCCTCGTTCCATGAATGAGTGATGTTAGGTTTACTGCCCTTATCCACACGATGGGAGATTTCCGATTGCGATTTGAGTATCCATTTACTAGGTTAACAACCGCTGGGAGGTGACATTTCTGGAGTGTAAACTTTTGTCTATGCCTAAAGTTTTGCCTTATTGTGTGAAGGAGGAACTGCGCAATGGGAAGGTTGAGGACGATTCTTCTCGCGCTGTGAGTGGGCTGTCGGTCTCTCCAGATGGCTCTGTGGTTGCCGTTCTTATTGAAAGGTGGGCTTTTGCGGTTTTATGAAGCATAGGACAGGGATTGCGTACTGAACTTGTGATGTTGAGTACTTTGTTACGCTTTCCGTGCTATTTACAGTAGAGGAAAGCAGGTACGTAGTTGTAGAGGATCCTTCTGCATCGCCAAGCAACAAACGTTCTCTAGCAGATACAGTGAGGAAAAATGAGGCGTGCGTATCTTATGTGTTGCAATTTGGGATGGGAGCAGCAGCATAGACAAATACTTGTACGTTTAGCCTCTGAAATGTCTGTCGGTCGCTCCTTAAATCCTCGTCAGCAGTACCGTCCCTTGATTTCCTTGCTGACTATATGCGCTAGAATTTCTTCTCGTGGGTCGGCTCTCGAAAAACGTGGGATAGTACTTTCATTTCTGGATAGCATATGGGATTGTGTATTCTCAACGTTGGTCTCGTACATGTATCTGCAGGTTCTCAGGAGTGCTTTTGTTACATTATGACGATGCAACAAAAAAGCTCACGCATCTCGAGGTATGTGGCGACTTTCAGTGTTCATAGTCTTTCGTCTTACGATGATGGAATGCTGTTGATTGAGAATCTATCGTGCACCTTTTTGTTCCCATACGTCAGGTTTCGTTCGATCATCAACATGCAGTCTGATTTCATGATCAGAGTTGCCGATGAATGTGATGAGAGCATCAGAGTCATGAGAATCTTCCTTCCCTCTTTTCAAACCGTACATCAGCTTTCTCGTCTAAACACATGACGCATGATATGGTGTACTAGTTGCGGAGCATGTCAATCGCATGTTCAAGAGCTTTAAAACTCTTGTCAGTATGCTCAGTAGAACGAACTGGTGTATCATGTGCAGAGTATTTTTCTCTCTGAGCAAGTTTCTCCTACGAGTCTGGCGTTCGACGTGGATTCTAGGCTGTGGTTAGTTGCAGGCGCGGCCGAAAGCATTGAGCTAGGTGACCAGCTTGTCACACCAGAAGATGCCGCTGCAGCCGAGGCTAGGGCACAAATGGTAGCGAGGACTGCGGTAGCACATGTTCGCCTGATCAGGAAACACACCTCTGACTTAGGAGGAGAAGATAATGCTCGGGAGACCTTGGCTGCTTACAAATTGTGTGAAGAAGATTCGATGCCCGGTGGCGAGTCTCTCCGTCTCGCTCTGCAGGGCAGCAGAGCGGACGCAGGAGAAGTGGCAGTGGCAGCCGAGGCAGCAGAGCAGGCCATGAGAAAGCTCATGTCCAAACGACAGTACACCATTGAGCAGAGGGAGAATAGGAAGCGTTTTCGCAACGATAAGAAACTTGAGAATAAAGAGGGCTAAAGTTTCGAAGTAATTATGGTTGTGACTTGTGTGTACGATGGATCAAAATTTACTCTCGCGTCTTTTGGCGCTGTGGCGCTACTCCTCGCCAGAGGACTGGCGGTGGTGACACACGCTCAAAGGTAGATGCCATTGATGCTTGATGACTCACCTGCGAGCTCCGGGCTATGTATGCCGAACGTAAGGCAGGTTCAAAGATGGGGCTCTGCTCACTCGCGTTGGCTTCTGTCTGTATCGTGCGAAGGAAAAGCCAAAGCCATGTGATTTGGACACTCATAGCCTGAATCAGGCTAGCACGTTGGCACAGTACCACTGTTCTGGTATTCTCTCTGCAATTTTTTTTACCAAAAAGATTTGTTGGAAAGCTCTGGGACTGCATCATCCAGGGACGATGGTGGGGCTTGCCATCTACTCGATCGTGAGACTTGTAGGTCATCGATACATGCTGTCAGATCTGCCGTCATAGATTGCCTGCAATCCCTAGAATTTGGGATGAGGAGGCAGACTCGTAGCACACATCAGAGGATCGGGCGAAGCTCTTTAGCCAGAATCCAGATTCCTTGCATTAGCTTCTGCGCGAAAAGTCGCAGCAACGCCCCGCGACTGTGTGATGGATATTTGTACCTAATATCTGCACGGCGGTGCAGACCAACCTCTCTCCACTTTCCCCTCGAGGCTTTAAAGAGCGCTCTGCGCGAGCGTGCTCCTTCAGTGATGAAGAGGCAAGTAGGCCCCCGGGCACGTTAGCGTGCAGGCGCGAGGTACTGCCTTCCCCCTCCCCATCCCCCTTCCCCCCTCGATTCCTTATCTCTCTAGCCCCAAAGACACCAGCGTAGCGTGGCCCGGGAAGAGCCAAGAACGCTGCCCCCGTCCATCCGTCCGTCCATCCATCCGTCCATCCGCAGCCCCCTGCCGTCCGCCCGGCCACCCGGACGAGTGCAGCAGAGGCATCCGAGTCGTTTAGCCCGTGACGGCCCGAACCGGCCAGCCTGGAAAGGGGGACCCGGGGGGGCCGAGATTAACCTCGTGTGAGAATGACGTTATGTTGGGCTGCCCCGCGAACAACGGTCGGAGTGCGGATAATGGTCGGACTGTGACCACTGTAGCCGGGGGGCTGGGGCTGGGCCTAACCAGGGCCAGCAGGACCACCGCTTCCGCCACAGTCCCAGCCCCCGCTGACAGGCTCTGGAGAGCGCCTTGGACCGCATCCGGAAAGCGCCGAATTGGCGCTCTGGCGCGTGAATTGCGCAACCGGCGCGAGAGCGATGATGCACACGAACCCTGGTTCGTGCAGGCCATTGGCAAGGAGCTGCGCTCGCGGGCTCGTAGGGCTCGCAGCGATCAACCGTAAGCTTGACGGTGTCAGCGGCAGATAGATGGGTGAAAAGGGCGGATAATGTAGAATCGAGATTTCTGCTGCTACGGAAGTGCAGCGTGATGATGGACCGAGATCGAGCTGCGAGAACCGGAGGGCGAGCCGGCATACTCGGTGACAGATTTGGCCGCGCGAGGAGAAAAGCAGCTGCAAAAGCGAGGTACGTCTCGCAGAAGGAACGGGGCTGCGATAAAAGGTCAAACGAGAAAGCCTGTCGGGACATCTCTCGCAGAGGCAAGTGGGGCCGCCGCGAGCCGCGAGCCGCGATCGGCAGCCTCGAATTAGAGCACCCCCTAAACTTGAGTCGGCCGATTGACGGCCGAGGTCCAGAGATGCGAGCTCAGATCGATGGCTCGACTAGCCCATCCCGTCGAATGGTCCGATGCCGGCTCGCTCGGCAAAAGCATATCCAAACCCCTCGGCCCACTTATTTGCCGACAAATCTCGGCGCAGCAGCAGCCCTGGGCTCGCGAGCTCTCAACAGCCCAGGAATCATGTCTGCATTGATGACGAGCGCATGACATAGGGGAATGCTTCTCTCTCTTTCTCTCTCCACTCGTTGGCAGGCAGGCAGGCGAGGCAAGCAGGGCCGGGGCGAGCAGAAAGATATGAGCGATGTCATGAACAGGCGCGAGCAGTGAAAAGGCAGGCGTCTACGTGGTTCACATCACGCTCACGCGAGCAATGTTGTCAGCGTGAGCGTCCTCCCCTCCAGGTCCTATGTGCTGCTGCGCTCTCTGCCCTCTCTCATCCCCATGAATGCTCTGCTCTGCTCTGCTCCTCCTTTCCATGCTGATGCTCTCCTCCCCTCCCCTCGGTCTCGCCGAGCCCGGCAGAGGCGGGTCCCCGGTCTTCGCCTCTTGGACTGGATCGATCCCCCACAGCGCTTCTCTCTCTCCCCCTCTTTGTCCAGCATTCGCCGGCATCGCTCTCGCTCTCGCTTCCTCATCGGATGAGGTGAAATTCGCAGGCTTGCCATCCGTGTCACCATTTTGACCCGGTCCTCTAATCTTTTCTCTCTCTCTCTCTTCTCGTTAGCTACGCCCCCTCTTACAGCAGCTGCTGCTGCTGATGCTGTGGTGTATTTCTACCGTTATACTGTATGGATCTCGTGACCCAAGTACATAGCTGAGGTAACACAGAATCCAGAAGCGGGCGGGGAGGAGGAGGAGAGATGCAGTCTGCAAAAGAGCGCAGGCCCAAGTGCCATCACTGCACGCCATGTGTATGTCACGGTACTTCTGAGAAAACGACTTTTTATCTAATCTAGTGACAGAGGGAGGGAAGTGGCATGAGCATGGGGTTTGCAACACAATCGAGCAGCGGTAACGCATTCGTGATCCATCCATCCATCGATCGGTCGGTCGGTGATCCGTGCTTGAGGCACAGGCAGCAGCTGCAGGCACATCGACGATTCTCTATCTGGAGCCTGAGGCCCATTTAAATAAGGCCCGCCAAGCAAAGCATTCCTTCCATGATCTCGCGACTTCATCAATGGAGGAGTATTAATAGAATGTCCCGGTTGGGGATGTTTTGCGACTGGGCGCTCGTCATCATTGCCTGGCTTGCCTGATTGGGAAGCGAGCGCTGGCCAATGCGCACCTGCTAGAACGAGAATTCCCTGCGCTGGTCTGGACCAACGGATCGGCGATGCAGCAGGACTTTCCGGTCAACCTCCTCCAGGGGGCAGGGGGTCAGAGCTGGTTCCTTCCTGTCCCGCTGATTGACTGACGGCCTGCCAAGGGGGCTCGGAGCTTGGCCCCCTTGACGAGACCTTTAATGTCCGGGCTTATTATGCACCGAACTTGTCGAGCCAAAAGGTGCGCACCCTGAGCGTACAGGCGCTGCGCCTCCGTGAGGCGCAGCACGACGTCGAGTCTGCCGTTCGCCCTGCGCTCGGCCATTGGCCGACGCAAACGTGGGCCGCTCAACGGCGCCCTCGATGCCAATTACATCGATGACCTCCGCTTTGAATTTACGCCCCATGTGACAAACATACGCTTCCAGATAGATGGTTGAACTCTTTGACAATTTTAGCAAATCTGATGCAGACAAGCCCACTCCACGACCTATCTCGTCGCCCCGGTTTTATAGTGCGATGGTCAAGTTGGAGCAGGCTGCGTTTGCAGCACGCGCCATGGCTTCCCTTCCAGTGCATTATCTGGGCCCGATCGATCGATCGAACGACGCTCTTCATGACTGCTCCCGAAAGATCGCAGCATTCAAATTCGCTTCCCCAGCTCGAGAGCTGCTTCCAACACCTGTTCTCTCTTCTGGTCAACTCCTTCATTCCCCGTGCTCGCCCATGTTATCACGTCCACTTGTGTCGCTAGTGGTGCATGGTCAAACTCCTTGCATTGGTCGACCCACTTACTCTCGCCTAATCCAGGTAACTTCGGTTTCTCGAAGCATTTGGAGCGAGTTTCCCGTTCTTTTTTCGGTTGACTCCCACTCATCGCATGTTCCTGTACACGTCACGATTCGAACCGGCCCTAATGCAGTTTACTGTCGTGTGACTGCCTCGGATTTTTTTGATACCCTTTGACTGCAGAGGTGAAACCAATTTCAGCGATTCAGATGTCAGCATGATGCCAGCAGGTCTGCCCGTGGCGTGTTTTCTAGTGGTAAGATGCCGTATCTCTCGCTCCTTCCGACGTGTCGAGCAGATGAGTGTCCAGGACTGCTTAACTTTCCTGGGCATAAGCAAAAACAGGCTGCCATGCTCAAGTGTAGACGATTGTGCAAAGCATTCCACGGGACTAGTACCAAGTCTACGGCATTCTTGGAGGCAATCCAGTCGGTGCTGGACAAGACGGAGAATGTGCATATTTGCACTACTTATGACAAGCTCATCGAGCGCTTTGTCTTATATTTTCGCCGGTCAAACTCTATGCTGATACGAGGACTTGCTTTCGTATTAGTAGTCTCCTCCCTACTTTCGATGACTGTTAAGTTTACCAACCGAGAGACAAGTTGCAGATGTTGGACTCGCTTGAAAATACCTTTTACCCTTTGACCGGCATGATGTGACGCCACACGAAATGTGGCCTTCGTGTATGGTTGATAATCAGGCGAATAGTAAAGTTGCTGCCATCATTAATCAGCTTGGGTCATGCTCGAGAAACCGATTTACTGCTGGTTTTATTGTTCGACTCTAAAAGCGGGTGAAAACAAACTACGTACTTTTGTCTGCGTGCTCCCATTGACTTGAGTGGACTCGAGAGCTCTGGTGCTCTGGCGTGAGAGGCACTGCACACTGCTTGAGGTCACCGAGGTCCGAATTGCGTTGGGGAAATGTTGCCAGTTGTGTTCGTTTTCCGAGTCTCTTTCTTCTGCAGACTGTTCTCTGCATATCACTGTTTCGCTTGATGCCTCTTACATTGCTGAAGCGTACGTCGAGTACGTTTCGTGACATTTAGGTGGAGACACGGAAGAGATTTCCCAACTCTCTCTCTCTCTCTCACCGACTTAGCATGTTGTCTGAACTGGTCCTTCCAAAGTATCTCAATCATAAGCTCGATGCAAAAGAGAAGGTATCCAGCAAAAGAGTTTTGGGTTTCCACACCTAAAACTATTGTTGTTGTCGTCCATATATCTTTTCCTTGGCAGCTGTACGTTATGATGCGCAGAAGGAGGTTAGCTAAGACGTAAGCGTTGTGACATCAAAACCTTTCTACTCGCACCGACTTATCATGTCGTCAGAACTGATCTTTTCCAGGTCTCAGATCCCCATTTCGATGCAAAAGAAGCTGTGTCTAGCGAGACGATACGAGGGTACACAAAACCAAATACCTCGTCCACCATACCTACCACTCTGCAGGTGTACACTGGGTGAAGCAGAAGCTTTCCTAGATAGAAAAAGAAATGAAAATCGTCACCGACTTCGTGTGATATGGTTCAACCTTTTCGAATGATGACCTCGAGTCGAACAGGTATGAGGTGTGCCAAGTTCAGTCTTTTGCTCTTCGTGTGATATGAGCTTCTACAGCAGGTAAGAGGATGGATGGTCGTACTCCCATTGACTGCTTAGACTTAGCTCCCCGACAATGTTTTTTAGCTGAATGGTGACTTTGGTTTGGTCCTCGTTCGTAACCTCTGGAGGATTGTTTCTGCCAGAGACATGCGCAGTAGCTGGATCAATGGAATCAGGAGTTCCCATGAGTCAACTTTCGCACACCGAGAAAATTTCCGAGGCAGAACTAAAAATTAAAAAATTACCTCTAGACTAGAGAAGTCGTGTGTACGAACATTTGATTGCATTCGCAGTTCAGTTCCTACCGGATCGGCGTAGAAAGTCAGATGAGGTACGATTTCAGTTATATGATTGTGTTTAATACACGTGTTTAAACCTTATTTCCTACTTCATCAAGAAGAAAGTCAAGACATTGACAAAAGGAGAAGGTTGCAAATTTCTGCTCTCCTCATCTTTAAAAGGATGTGTGAATCTCCTCCCTTCTCACCTCAAATCCAGTTTTTCCTCGTCCTACTTTGTGTTGATTGAAGCTTCAAAGAGATAATATAAATTCTACTGCGACGATCTGTAGTTGAATTCAGAGGAAGCGAAGCAAGTTTCCTTCTAATTCTTAAATACATGCAACAATGACTTGGCGAAAAAGTTTGTATTTTCTCACAAGTGACCTGCTGAGTTTGGTAGTCAACCTAATGTAAACATATTTAAAAAACATCAATTCTCCTATGAACAAGGCTCACCTATGTAGTGGAACTTTGGCTTCTGGCGAGATCCATCCACGGGTTAATAGTGTGGTCAATTTAGTCCACAAAGAAACATTGATGTGACCTATGCCTACCCTACCGTGGTTGAAACTGTTGAAGTCTAGTTATAGTCCTTGTTAGCCTCGTGCGATAAGCATCTCCTAATTGGCCAAGGAAATAAACCAAAATATACAGAGAAGAATCATGAGAATAAGTCAAGTATTAACTATGATGAGTGCATGATGAAAAATATGTATGACAAAGGAAAAATTTTCGTAAGGACAGCGAAACGAACGACACTAGATATTGAACTCCAACTGCAAGATATATTCTTTACAATGCATAGATTGTATTGTTTTCTAATAATGTTCTAAGGCATCGTCCCAAGGTGGGGTTAAGTCACCAAGGTGAGGTCTTCTCGTGCGTCTGGGTCCTCTCCGTGTTTGTGTCGTCACGTTTGATAGGTGGAATTCCGATTGTTAGCATAAGAAAATTGTTGATCTATGACAAAGGCAGTGACGCTAATGGCAAAGGATGGGAGTCAAGCTTTTTCTCGCACCGGCCCAAACTCCCATGTTAGATTCAAATACATAAAGAATCTGTTTAGTTAAGGGGAGTGTTCAATTCACCAAATGCGTAAAAATCACCTCATGAGTTAGAACTGCATAAGCCACCATTTGAATGTTGAAGGCTAGTGATGTTGCATAGCTTAATTTTGCATCTATGATTGCTAAAATCAGCGGTAACGAGAAAAGAGCTGTTGGTGTCATGAGCTATGCAGTATTTTGCTGGCACGGATGTCAAGGAAAGACCCAGTAGAGAGGAGAGCAACAAGAACATATTTTCAGAATTAACGTTGATGTGTTACTTCAGAAAAGGGTACATACTTTTGCAACCTAAAAAGTCGGTCAACTTTGAGTGATATAGAAACAACTTGGAAACCATCACACAGTACCTTGTACATCATTACTATAGCTGGAATCATCTTTAAGTAGTTTAAAGTAAACCCGTCATACGTATGACGTGAACTGGTTATTTCCGTCAAACTCAGTGACCCTAAACATTTTATATCTTTCCAATTCAAGATATAAATTAGAAATAAATGGCAGATAATAATTAAACCTCTCACCATATAATTGATGAACTGCATCTAATGGTCCTCTCCAATTGACCAAAACATAATAATACCAAATTGATGTATGATACTTGTACAAAATATTGCACACACTGAACATGGATGCTTAGGTGAGTCCTTGCTCATTGCAAGTAAATATAACCCCGCGTGATATTATATGAAATTTTTTTTCCCAGGTTAAAACTGTTTGTTGAATCCAACATATCTAGTCAATATTAGCCAGATCACGCATAAGGAAATGTCACATATACAGCATGTAGAGGTTCAACTATCTAATGATTTTTTGTGTAGTCTGTTTAAGCTTAAATATTATGATAAGATTTAGATCTTTCAAATTCAGATTCTCTTGTGGACTATTTTTTTAAATTTCATGGTAAAAATTGGAAATATATCGGTCTTATGTTGCGATGCTATGGTGTCTTACATACTGGAATAAATTTTGATGTATTTGTTAGACTTAACCAATCATTATAAATTTTAATTCTTTTCAAGAATAAGAAATGTATATTTTGGTAATTTGGTATTACATTTAAGCACTCTTTTAAGATTTTGTATCAAACGTATGATAATCATTTCAACATGTATGATGTTTGCTCAAGCAACAAATTTCATGGTACACAGTTTCTATTAATGCACAATTTTACAGTAATGAAAATCATAGTATCACTATTGTTACATCAACTATATTAGTCCAATCATACATTTTTAACATAGTTTTTTTTCGTATTAAGAAGCAAATTCAATGTAGTTGAGAAAATGAAATTTATAAACTACAAACAACATCACTCTGGATTTAATGTGAAGATAGATTCAAGCAAGCAAAATTCAAAGATACTGATTAAATTATTTTTATCATTATTAAAATATAGACAGATAATTTATAAAAAAATATTAGCTTAAAATTTCAGTTTTAACCAAAAAAAAATCAAACAAGTCAAAAGATAAAAGATTGAAACAATTTGAATTCAAAATTTTTTGGAAATATATCAATGTCAAACATTTTGCGTTGTCAAGAATATATCCGAAATAAAAATTAATAAACTTTAAAACTAATAAAAATGAATTGTAAAATTTCAAAACACTTTTTCATTAAATTAAAATTCTTAGGTTTCATTTCATTCTACTTTGAAACAGTACTATTGAAAACTTTTCATTATTCATGCGTAAAAAAAATTACTTTAAAAATTATTTTTTTCATGAATAACACCTAATTATTTTTCTTAAAAACTAAATCTTTAGAGAAATAAATACTGAATGTTTATATATGTAAATATTAACAAAATCATCTACCCCTTAATACAAATCATATACAAAAATCCAAATTTCTATGAAAAAATAGAAAAATCAATGATATATCAAATTAAAATTATAACTATAAATATTTAATAAATATATTAAAATTTCTTAATTTTTACTTTAACTTATTCAAATATCATGTGTTATAGACAATAAATCTCCTCTTAGTTCTTTTTAGCAATTAACTTTTAGCTCTAGAGTTTGCAATAGAATTCATTTACCAATTGTTGGCAATGCAGCTTTGATGCAGTCTCAAGTGTGTTGTTGTTGTGCATAGTTCAGACATGAATTGTGTTCAGACTTGAAGCCGTCCACAATCTTTGATTTGAATTGAATCAAAAATTTGATAATGTCATATTTAATTTTTGATGTGAGATAAGATTTTTAATTCTTTCTAAACTTTCTAAATGTTAAATTTTATTTCTGCTATTTTATTTTATATCTGCACGCAATTAAATATAAATTTATAATCATTGTTTTT